CGTGTCTCATTCTTTCAATAGGGGTGCTTGCGCCCATGTCTTTGTGCTATATAACAATATATTTTCCGATATTTCTCTGATCATCGTAAAAGAAAATAGCCTGTTGCTGATATTTCATTTATGTGTCTGTAGGAGTACATGCAGCCGCTGAAGAAACCAGAAAATGCGGGGATGGTCGACTCGGAGCTGGTTGAACAGATTTTCTATCAGGTAAAAGACATATATCTGATTCTCGATTTCACATCCTTGCGTTTGCGATTAGGATTGTGAAAAGCTGAAGCTGCAACACTGCAACGCAAACTCTGCACTATTTTTTTAAAAAAATCTGTGATTTCACGAGGATGTAGTCATGAGTTAAATTTCTAACCGGCTACCGCGGTCTCCGTAGTTGTGTTTAATGAAAAATCTGCTGATTTCAAATGTTTAAAATTTGATAGTAACAATTTTAACCGTCGAATTATGCTGTCTCGAACAGAGTGGCGGTTGGCCTTTGCAAGTTCACCGTACCTGTCTAGTCGTCTTCTTGCTTATCTTAATTACAAATTAATCTATGTTGCACAATGCATGGGCACCAATACATGTATTGGAGACTTTATTACATATAGAATAATGTTCAGTACACGATGGTCGATGTTTCTCAGGTCCCTGCCATCCTTGCTCTCCACCAAGAGTTCCTTGACGATCTCCAAAAACGGCTCGAGAATTGGGACTTCCAGCAGAAAGTGGGCGACGTCCTCCTTAACGCGGTGAGTAAACTTGCGTTAGTCACTGATAACCTTGATCGTGGAAGACAATTTTTGCTTTGCCAGTATGCGAGATTCCCGGAGTGTTCTGTGTGAAATGCATGATGCTAACCCTCATCCCTCATGGCCCTCTCTGTTTTGTTCTTGCAGTTCACGAAACGTTCCGTCATCGAGACGTACACCGCCTTCATCAATAACTGGAAGACGGCCAAGGAAGCCATCAAGAGCACGTGCCAGGCCAAACCGGCCTTTGCCAGATACCTAGAGGTAGGCTCTCGGAGCGGCCGGCGGCAGAACCAGTTATTATTTTTCTTGCCTTCTTTATTTGTTTCTCCCGTCCGCGTTCCCTTTGTCACACTTGCGAGGTCGGCTAGACAGAGAAGAGGGATAGAATGGAAGGAGGGGTAGGAAAAAGAGAAGGGTATACAGGCGAGGTGCGGCAACTCCCGGGTCACGTCGGGACCCAGGACCCTTCTGGAAAGCAAACGTTCTAAGAGCAATGTCTTCAGGGGGTATCATGACTAAGAGAAAAAGCCCCGGATGCGCACAGCCTTTGTTTTAGTGATTTTGCAACTCCCGGGTCAGTTTTGGAACGGTTCAGTCAACGGTTAGACATTTCATTACGCTACAAATAATTTCTCACTGTAAAATGCTTGAGACTTTATAATTTGCAACGTTGCAAGCAATAATTAGTTCACTTTGCAAAGAAAATTATTTTAACTGTTTGTTCGGATTGTTAAGAAACACTACGCAAGCTTGCAAAGAACTAGTTTGCAATATGAACCTTTCATTTTTTACTGCTCCTAAACGGCTATCCGGGTAAAAAAATATGTTGGAAGAAAAATAATATGTTTGAAATCAGTATTAATCCTTGTAGCTTCATTTACAATCCACACTACCCTTTCTATTTTCCAAAAAACCTTTTCTGGAACGAGAATATTTGTTTTCCAGCTGTAAAGAACTCAGGCGTTGCCGCCCCCAAGTAGACGTGAGGGGTGAGAGAGGGGCAGTAGAAGGGGCTGCGTGCCTCTTCAGCAAACCAATCTCCCCTCCATTTAGAACCCCGCTCAGAGCGCCGTCCATTCCAGGGATAGGCAACCAGCTCGCGTCGCTGTGCTGCGTGTAGCGCCCCCAACCCCCCACCCCCATCCCCATCCCTATCCCGTTTTAGAACGTCACGGTGGGGGTGGAAATTTTCACCATTCCCTGTTCTACTTCATTTAGAAAATCAATTTTATATTTATTTAAATGAAAATTACGCTTATTTCTGAAAATATTTCTGCTGTGGCCACCACTTTGGTCGACCTGGACACGGCAAGGCAGAGGCTATTGCTGAGGTAGAAGGCGGACAGCACGCCCCCTCCCCCCTCCGTCGATGTGCCGGGATCTGGGATTCCCTTTCCTGGGTCCAAAATAAACGCGCCAGCGCTGCTGATTCACGATCAGAGGCGCCGGGCCGGACCAGGACCGGGGTGCGAATGGGAACCGAAAACGTACGATCTTTGTGTTTCGATTCGCGAAGAACTTCAGCAACCAAATTTGAACAATTGTGAATGGTCAGGCCTTCCCGACTTCTTTTCGCCGCAGTACCCTGTCGTCTTCGCCTTCCGCTTTAAGTGGTGGCAACGGCTTGGAAGTGTAGGTATACCTGCGCTGTAAACACAGTGCGGATCGAACTGGTGAGCAGACGAAACTTTTAGTTCAAGAAGCGTTTTTGTTGCGGGGTGGCGCAGACTACGTTTCAGGCTCTATTTTGTTCACAAATATTTTAATTTTAGTTTTCATCAGTTGCTGTATGTGCTTCCCCTCTCCCTAAGAAATGGTTGTAACTAAACCTCTCTAAATATCAATCTGTGCTACATTGCGAAAAGTTTTGACTGGAAGTTTGTGTTAACGATGTGACCGCAATTGGAGTCACAGTAATATGAACACACATGCCGGTTTTTTGAACCTTTTCCCCGCACTGAACTTGTTACTTTTCTCAAGACGTTATTTCGTTGTTTGCATTCATTGTAGGTGATGAAATTCGTGTAGGCAGCTTTTCGGAAATGTCCTGGTTTTGTTTGCAGGCGATGGCACGTGAGCACAAGGGGAAGCTGGACATCGACTCGCTGCTCATTAAGCTTGTGCAGCGAATACCTGGATATGAACTGCTCATTCAAGTAAGTACTCGCTGATGCGGTTACACACGCGGTATACCGACCATGTCTCAGGGCTAGGACACAACAATGTTTTGTGGGTTTGCATACCCTAGGGGTCATTGCGTCCCTCGGGTGGAGCGAGTAGGCTAACCCGCCTACTGCTGTGTCGTAGCCCTGACACTCGGTACACTTTTCTTTTACACCGTTCTCTTGATGGTTTTGAGTTTTATGCTACATGCCTCTCACTCTTACACAAACTCCACCTGCA